GTGTCGACGAGGGTCGTAACCCTTCATTTCCGTCGGCTGTCTGGCTGACGTTGCCGGTCAGAGTAACTTGATCTGGAGAGATTGGAATCGGTGAGACGTTTCCCGAGGTTTGTTGAGTTAAATCCATTTTGATTTCAGCTGGCTTAGGATCTGCTCTTGAGTAAGAGAAATCTATAGATCTTTCCCCATAGACAGCGCCAAAATGTGGGTACAGAAATCCACAGTCAGAAATTTATGTGTTTTTGTAAGGAAAGAACTTTAGAGGATTAAGGGATAGATTCTCTCGAACAGATTGACAATATAAGCTAGCACTAACTGAAATAAGGACTTAGTATTAATCGGTTGAATGAAACGGTTACAAGGATTTCAATGAAGAAGATGAACTGAAAAGAGCTCTGAGAGCAATTACAGAGTTTTCGGGTGTAAAAAGTGTAAAGGAAGATCAAGCCCAAGATCCCCTAAACTAAGCCGTTCCCTTCCTTTATATAGCTCGTTTCGTCGAGCTCCGAACTCCGGCGCGTATCTCGGCCACGTGCAGCAGCTTTAGCCAGAAATCTCGCCACGTTCAGCAGTTTCCTCTGCGATCTTCAGACTCGTTTGAACTGGCGAGAATATGCTCTGACTTGGCTTGGATCCTTCCTTATTTCTCCGGATTTGATCGAGCTGGAGCTCGACCTTGTCAAACGGAACGCCTGGTTGTTCAGGATTGGATCGTTGAGAGTTAAATGGGGCTGGGCCGTAGAGTCAAAGCCCAATCAATTTGGCTTAGTTTGGATATGTCCTTTGTGCTTGAGTGGGCCGGATTTAGAGTGCTAAATCCAGCTCCAACATTCGGCTTGATCTTTTTCTACGCTTTTCACACCTGAAAACTCTGTAACTGCTCTCAGAGCTCTTTTCAGTTCATTTTTTCTATCGAAATCTTTGTAACCGTTTCATTCGACCGATTAATATCAAGTCCTTATTTCAGTTAGTGCTAGCTTATACTGTCAATCTGTTCGAGAGAATCTAGTCCTTAATCCTCTAAAATTCTTTCCTTACAAAAACACATAAATTTCTGAGTGTGGATTTATGTATCCACAGTAAAGTATGATTAAAACATTAAAACATTAATTTCTAATTTTTTAAAACATTAATTTCATTTTATAGATGAAAAAATTAAAATAAAAAGCTTAATTAACAAATAAAAAAGAAAATAATGTTAAAAAAAAAACAAAATATAGTATCTTTCAAAACTAAATGGAAATTTAATGTCAAAAGAGTTAAACTAGTAAAAAAACCAATAAGGTAAAAACTAAAACTTATAATATAGATTAGAAAAATTTCTTATTCGTAAATTAATTGACAAGAAAAATATTAAACATTAATTTTGTTTTATAGATAAAAAAATTAAAATAAAAAAGCTTAAGTAAATAGAAAAGAAAACTAAGTTATAAAAATCAAACTATAGTATCCCTCACATTTAAATTGAAATTTTATGTCAAAACAGTTAAACTAACAAAAAAACCAATATCATAAAAACAAATTAACTTGATATCTAAAACAAAAACATTAACGTGAAAATTAATATAAAAAAAATAAAAAATAAAAAACATTCGTATAAAAGAAATTAACTTGATGTCTATGCTATATATTTTGAAAATCAACATCAAAAGAGGTTAATAAAAAAAATAAGTCCTAAGTATATCAAACATACAAAAATTTGTATAAATTAAAATAAAATATAAAATTATTATCAAAATATATAAAATATCAAAAAAAATAAAAAAAAAATAATTTCAAAACATTCATGATTTCTAAAGTATTAATATCAACAATGAATAACTATCTAAAAAAGTTGTAATAGGATTACGGAAATTTCTAAATCAAACATATTTTTAAATATATAATGATTAATACACTGGATGTTTCTGATTTAAAAACTAACAAATAAAAATACTACATAAATAACTTTACAATAGAAATTTAACAAGTACTTATATCTGAACCAACATTAATAACACATGAATAACATATTCTAAAATTTTATTTAAGTAATAAAATATAACAGAGTTATGAATCAAACTCAAATTAGTATATGTAGATAGAATATTCAAATCAAAACTTGCAGATTGCACACAAAAGATAAAAACAATAAAAAATAATGTGAAGACTACACCACCAATCATATAAGTTTAAAAAATAAAATTATCAAATAATAGATTGCAAATGAAAAAAAATAGATCTGAATAAAAACTGAATAAAATATAAGCTAAAACTCGTGGAAGACCTGGTGGAGAAGGAATAAACGGTTTTGCATGATCACTACAACTTCCTAACAAAACTAAATGCAAATCAGCATGAATCATAGATTATATATGCATATGTACATAACATCAATAAAACATTCAATAAAAACGAAATATTTGAACACATAAATCTTAAAAAAAATGTACAAATATCTATGGAAAACAAAACAAAATATCAAGATCTTAACAAAGAAACTATTCTCTAAATCAAATGTTTCTATAAATCAAATGTATGTATACATCAAAGTTGGATAATTTGATAGGTGTCATTGTTATTATTTTACTTAATAAAATTTAAAATTTTATAAATAAAATTAGGAGAAAACTACATTTATATTTTATATAAAAGAAAATTTCTATAATTCTATTATAGTCTTAATAATCTAGAAGGCAGTAGATTAAAATAAAAAATAAACTAAACTATTAATACAAACTCGCGTGTAGCGCGAGTTATAAACCTAGTCTATTTACTAATAAAAGTTGATGTTATATGCTTCTAAGGGTGTCCATATAGGATTTAAAAGATTCGATTATATTGGTACACATCATCATCATCTATAATTGAGTATATATTATATATTAAAATAAATTAATTTAGTTTTTATTTTAAAAGAAAATTTTCTAATTTTAATTAATTTTGTTTTTGTTGTTATTAGGAAAGTTTCTAAATTTTAAGTTAGTTATTAATAAGAAAGAGTTTAGAAAGTAGATCATATTATTCTATTAACAACAAAAAGTAAATTAACATATAAATAGATTATTAAAAAAAAATTATATATATTGAACAAAATAATTAAAAAATCGATTCAAGACCATAATTAAACTATTTCAAAATTTTAATCATGACAAAAACTTAAAATCTAAACTATTGACTTAAATATATTAGTTGTGGTCTGTGTTGATGTTTTAGACCAATGAGAGCATCCATATGAGACATAAAAACTCAATTTGATTAGTCCACATCAGCGCTTTTTATTAAATTTAAAAGATGTTAAATATGATTAATAATTTAAATAACTTAAAAATATATATAAAATTATCATAGTATAATAGAAAATTAAGATAAAAAAAGTTTAACTAAAAATACAAATAAATTAAAATTATCCCAAAAAATTCAAATCTATAACGTTTGTCAAAATAAAATGGAAATTCATTGTCACAAAAGCTAAATTAACAAGAACAAATATATGAATCAATAACCAAAATTTAAAAAAATTTAAATGAATATATTTAGCCTAAATATTAAACTATATATTTTAAATGAATAATTAATTTAGCAAAAATATTATTGTTAAATTTTTATAGAAACATATAAATTTTTTATTTAAAACAGTCAATGCTGCAAAAACAAAACATTCATGCTAATTTAACAAAAGAAAAAGTCATCAAACTTAATATTTAGCCTAATAATTTAGAAAATCAACACAAAAAGCTTAACTAACCAAAAAAATGATACTTTATGCTAATTCCTTCAGATAAAAATATTTAACTAACAAAAAACAAAACAGAAATTATTTCTTATAATATGTCAATACAATTAAATTAAAAATTCATATCGAAAAAGATAAATTAACAAAGAAAATAAAATGGAAATTAATTTGATATATATGCTCTTTACTTAACAAAATCAATATAAACAAAATTAGTAAGAGAATAAAAAAAACTTTAAGTCATACTAAAAAAACTTAACTAACAAAAGAATATAAATATTTAAGCTAATTATTTAAGAAATCAGTATTAAAAAATTAATTTTTACAAAATGCTATATTTAAAAAATTCATTTAAAAAAAATTAACTTGATATATGACTAACTACTTAAAAAATCAATATACACAAAATTTAACTAGCAAAATAATAAAAAATAAAATTATGACTTCAAAAATATCAATATTTTCAAAACAATTATGTGTTAAAATAAAATAGAAATCAGTATCAAGAGAAGTAAAATATCAAAAGAAAAAATCGTATAAATTAAAATTAGCTTGATATTTAGGCTAATATTTTGGAAAATTAACATAAAAATGAACTAAAAAAGCAATGATGGCATAAGCTTTTGAGATGAGTCTATATAAAATTTAGAATAACCAGTTATAGCATGTCAAAACAATATTATAATTAAAATAGTTAATATATAAACAAAGAAAAAATACTTATGTAAAAAAAATTAAATTGATATATATGCTACCTATTTAGAAAATCAATAACAAATAGCTTAATTAAAAATACATATGTTTTAAGTATATCAAACATGCAAAAAATTATATAAATTAGAATAAAATAAAAAATTACCATAAAAAGATATGTAAAATAACCAAAAAAAATAAAATCTAAAAAGAAAATTAGTTTAAAATTTAGTTAAAGAAAATTCATGATTTCTAAAATATTGGTATTGATTATGAATAACTCTATAAAATTACAGTACGGTTTCAAAATGAAACATATTATTTAAATTTACAAAGACTAATACTTTGGCTGCGTCTGGTTTAAAATCTAATAAAGAAAAATACTACACAAATAACATTACATTCAAAATATAACAAGTAATAAAGTCTGATCTTTTTACACAAATAACTTTACATTCAAAATATAACAAATAATAAAGTCTGATTTTTTTACACAAATAACTTTACACAAATAACTTTACATTCAAAAAATAAAGATACCTAGCCGCTCTCTAAGGTGGCGATTCCATCTCCCCAACCGATGGGGCTAGATGCCCCTCAAGTAGATCCGTCAACTTTCTCCTCGCCATCTCAAAGCCCGATCTCTGGAGGACCAACTAATTCATGGTCAGGGATAGTTAACGGCTCGGTGAGTTCGTTAAACAATGGGGAAAAACCTGTGTATGTGGTGGATAAAGGTATTGCATCGATCGTCATACCACCGGAATTACTGGCAGATGATGAACCTCTGTGGAAGTGTTTTGTAGCCGGTTATTTCATAGGGGATGCTTCTCATGTGGGGCGTATTCACGCCACAGTAAATCGAATCTGGGCGGTGCCGGGAAAAGGAGGAAAGATTGATGTCCAATTCATCGGCAAGAATTTGGTACTTTTCAAAATTGACAATGAGCAGATCAGATCCCGTGTGGTGCGTCGTCGCTACTGGCACGTTTCGGAGGTCCTTTTAGTAGTCAATGATTGGAACCCAGCAACAGCGCAAGTTCCCACCGGATTTATCCGCCATGCCTCTGTGGGTAGATTTCAGATCTGTTCTGAATCACCTATACTCTCACAAAGGGCTCAAGTTTCTGGGGAATATCGCTGGGAAATTTGTCAAATTGCATCCAACCACGGAGAGATGCACTAGGCTGGATGTGGCCAGAGTGCTGGTGGAGGTTAATTTGCATAACCCACTGACATAAATAATAAGTTTTGACGGCAGAGATAGTAGTCGAGAAGAGGTGAAGGTGTGTTATCCATGGCTTTCCTCAAGATGTATGGTATGCCAGAAGTGGGGGCATAACACTTCAGAATGTCAAGAGGACAAGGTCACCATTCTACAGAAGGTAGTAACAGGAAGCTAGCGTGGAGGAGGTACAAAGACCTCAGATGGATGCACCGCAATCCCCTTCGCAAGTGGTTTCTGATTTGATCACTGAGCTGGAAAATGCCGATGTTCTTCCTGGAGATGCACTTGCTGGTGTAACGAGTGCGAAAAGTGAGAGTGTGAGTTTAGCCACTACAACTGATAAAGTATGGAAGACGGTATCAGGTCCCCGTCACTCCCCTGCATGTGAGCCTGCAGTATCGGAATCCACAGAATACCAGAATCTGCAATCACCTTTTCGGTATCAGATCTTGGCTGCTATAGACGAAGTTACTGCAGAAGAAGAGGACGAGGAAGAGGCGCATGAGCATGAGGAGGTTGAGGAAGGAGAGCTATTAGTTGAGAAACAGGGGGATGCAGAGGGAGTTTTGGCCAAGAAAAAGGGTAAGGGCCATCAAAAGCTAACCGCAAAAGCTCCAAAGAAGATGATATTCCGGTCTAAAGATATGATGCATGGGGTTGCTCATAAACCAACAAAAAAAGTTTCCTCACGGAAACTATGATGTCCTTTTTTGTATAAAATATGCGTGAATTCAATATACCGCGCAAACATGGAGTGGTCCGGTGATGAGTTCAAGAAATCAAACCGCTATTTGGATGTTTGGTAGAAACAAGGGTACTTCAGGAGAATCACAGTAATGTATTGAGCTCTTCTCTCCCGGGCTGGAGCTCTATCACAAACTATAAATATAACCGTTTGGGTCATGTATGGTTTTGTTGGTCTGAAGCAGTCTCGGTTACACTCCTGCATAAGACTCCTCAGATAATAACATGCGCTGTTCAAATTACTGGCATATGGGATGTATTTATATGTTCAACGTTTTATGCTTCCAACTTTAAAGCAGAGAGGAGGGCTCTTTGGGAGGACAAACAGGCAATAAAAGCAGCTTACGAACATTTATATAAGCCATGGATACTATTTGGAGATTACAATGAAATCTTAGCCACCAGTGAACACTCTCGAGGGTATGATCAACATAGCAGTCAAGGGGGAATGAGACAGTTTCAAACTTTAGTAGCCGACTATAATTTAATGGATCTCAACCACGTGGGGTCTTTTTCACTTGGTGGAACAAGAGAGCTTGTGATCCGATAGGGAAGAAGCTGGATCGTGCTTTGATTAATGGTGAATGGCTAACAGAGTTCCCACATGCTTATGCAAGTTTTGACACGAGAGGCATTTCAGACCATGCTCGCTGCCTCGTCAGACTTTCAATGCCGGTATCTAGAGCTCGAAAGCCTTTTAAGTTTTTCAATTATTTGACTGACCACCCTCAGTTTTTGTTTACGGTGGCGAATGTTTGGCAGGAACAAGCTCCCCTCTTTCAGTCAAAAGCAGCAATATACAAGTTCCACAAACAGCTTAAGTTGCTGAAGTATAACCTGAGGGCTCTGAACAGAACACATTACGGGGACCTTCCTAATCGTACTAAGCAAGCATTTGATGAGCTTTGTGTGCGTCAGAATCAGGTTCTGTTAAATCCAACAGAAGATACGGTACTAGAAGAAGCTGCAGCGTTAGAGAGATGGCATCATCTAGCGAATGTCGAGGAAAAGTTCTTCAAGCAGAAATTATGTGTCAAGTGGCTAAGTGTTGGTGATCAGAATAATGTTGCATTCTACCGTCCAGCAGCTGGGCATGCAGCCAGAAATGCCATCAAATATCTTGAATCGGAGTCAGGGGAGGTGCTAACTAATCTGTCAGATATCAAACGTGAGGCTGTCTCATACTTTCAACGATTTCTTTAGTCATAAGGCCCAAACTCAGCTGATGTTTCATCGCTTTATCTGGAGGAATTTCTTAGCTATCGGAGCTAACGCATCAGCAGAGTTGGTAGCTCCTATAACTGCCATCGAAGTGCGCACGGCATTACATTCGTTACCTAGAGACAAGGTTTCGGGGCCGGATGGATTCACGAAGGAGTTTTATATTGCTGCTTGGCCTATCATAGGTAGAGACATTATTACTGCAGTCCAGTCCTTCTTCATGTTTAGATTCCTACATAGTGGAGTGAATGCTACAATTCTGAGTTTAATTTTCAAGACAGAGAATGCCAAAACGATGTAGGACTACAGGTCTATTGCGTGTTGTAACCTACTCTACAAAGTGATCTCCAAAATTTTGGAAAACAGGCTAAAGACCTTGCTTCCCGGTGCCATTGAAGCAAACCAGAGTGCTTTTATAAAAGGACGGCTTCTCTTAGAGAATGTGTTGTTGGAATCAGAGCTGGTCAATGGTTATCACAAGGGCATTCTCTCATCCAGATGTGCTATTAAATTTGATATTGCTAAAGCGTTTGACATAGTCAAGTGGTCTTTCATTCGTTCAGTACTGCAAGCTATGGGGCTCCCCGAGCTGTTCATAAACAGGGTTTACACTTGCATCTCTACAGCTAGATTTTCAGTTGTTAATGGGGACTTCGAGGGATTCTTCACTACTGCAAGAGGTATCCATCAGGGATGTTTCCTCTCACCGTATTTATATGTCATCCTCAACAATGTTCTCTCGAAGATGTTGAATAAGGCGGCACTGAACGGTGGATTTGGCTATCACCCTAAGTGTAAAGATGTGGAGCTCACACACTTAAGCTTTGCGGATGATGTATTGGTATTCACAGATGGATCACCTGCATCTTTGACCAGAGTAATGGAGGTGTTCCGTCAATTTACGGGTATGTCTGGCCTCTACATAAATGCAAACAAGTCATCTATTTACGTTGCAGGAGGAGGTAGCCATGAGATTCACACAGCGATATCAGAAGTAGGCTTATCGGTTGGCACTCTCCCCATCTGGTACTTGGGCTTGCCATTAATAACCAAGACACTGACGGCAGTGGATTATGAACCTCTGATTGATAGAATTCAAACTCGACTCTTCTCCTGGAATCATAGTATGCTATCATATGCTGGGCGTCTCCAGCTGATCAAGTCAGTGATCACAAGTACTTCTAATTTCTGGAGCTCCGCATACATCTTGCCACAGTTATGTCTAGACAAAATAGAAAGTCTATGTAGTGCATTCTTATGGTCGAGATCGCCAAATGATTCCCATAAAGCAAAAGTATCGTGGGCAGAACTATGTTATCCTAAAGCTGAGGGGGGTCTGGGACTGCGTCGACTTAGAGATACCTCCCGGGTATTTGCTTTGAGCTTGATTTGGAGGTTGTTCTCCCTTTCAGGATCCTTATGGGTTGCATGGATTCACCGTTATCTCCTCCACAATGTCTCCTTCTGGGATGTTTGCGAGAGCGCTCAAGGATCATGGGTCTGGCGTAAACTGTTGAAACTTCAATATCAAGCCTATTCCTTCCTCAGGTTTGACATCCGAGATGGTAAAACAATTCATTTCTGGTTCGATGACTGGCTTGAAGAGGGCAAGCTGATAGACATTACAAGGGAAGCAGGAACCAGAATTTCCGGGGTCCAACATAATGTGGTGGTTGCAGATGTTGTTGTAGGTGCTACTTGGGGGATTAGCAGTCGCAGAGGGAGACATTTCCCAGAACTCTGTGCTAAAGTACTCTCTCGCCATGTGCCCCAAGCGGATGCAGGTAAAGACATTGTGCTCTGGCGTCATGATGTTGGAGTGTATAAGCCTGAATTTTCCTCTGTGAGAACATGGAACCAGCTTCGCCTCAGTAAATTAGAGGTAGATTGGCATCGTCTTGTTTGGTTCCCTTAGGGAGTGCCATGACAATCATTCATTACCTGGTTAGCGATGCAGAACGGACTCTCGACAGGAGACCGAATGCGTAGTTGGGGATTGACACAACTCTGTGTGTTTTGTGGGGAGCTCGACGAAACTAGAGATCATTTGTTCTATACTTGCCCATACACCTACACGGTCTGGTTAGCTTTAGCGGGGAGGCTGCTGGGAACCTCTGCAGATCCTGATTGGCATGAAACAACTCAACATCTCATTCAGGCTAGTCATCACCTCCTGGATAATATTCTTTTAAGAATGGTGTTTCAAACATCCATATACTTCATTTGGCGGGAACGCAATGATAGAAGACATGGTCATCCCTGCACTATCCATCAGTCGCTCACACGCAAACCTGACTAAGCTTTAAGGAATCGCATCAGCTCTCTTGCATATCGCCATCCTCATAAGTTGGCAGGTCTTATGTCTCGGTGGTTTGAGATTGGAGGTGCACCCTCTCCTCCGCCTCTAACCAGTTAAAGCTGTAAACAAATTCTTTTATAGTTTTCACACATGTACATAACTATTCTTGGCTCTGTTATTCATCAATAAATTTGATATTCTATCCAAAAAAAAATCTAATTTTTTATATATAGTTACTACTTATAACTTTGAAAAAAAAATTACTACTTATAACTTAGCCAGTATGAACAGCACATGCGTAACACTTTCTAAAATTTTATTTAAATAATAATGTATGACAAATTAATAAATAAAATTCAAATTGGAATATATCTAGATAAATTATTTAAATCAAAACATTAATAAAACACATAAACGATAAAAACAGTGAAAAATAATGTGAAGACTCTACATTATCTTACATGTTTAAGAACAAAAATTATCAAATGGTTAACTACAAATAAAATAGACTTTAAAAATTGAATAGAGATATAACCTAAAATTCGTAGAAGATCTGGTGGAGAAGCAAGAAGCAGCTTTACATAATTATTGTAGCATCCTAACAAAATTAAATCTGTATCAACATGAATCATATATTATATATGCATAGTTACACAACATCACTGAGACATTTAATCAAAAACTAAATATTTGAACATATAAACCTTAAAAAAGAAAAACTAGAATCCTAAGAATACAAAATAAAACACCAAAAGTTTAGTAAGGAAATCAAACGTATGCATGTCGAAGTTGAATAATTTGTTAAGTATCATTACTATGATTTTACTTAATAAGATTTATAATTTTATGAGCTAAAAATAGGAAAAACTACAGATTTTGTTTTTAAAAAAATTATATAAAAGAAAAATTCTATAAATATATTATAGTTTTGATAATTTAAAAAATATTAACAAAAAAAAGAATTAAATCAAACTATTAATACAGACTTAAACGCCTAGTTTATGTAAAATCCAGCAAGGAATCGATACAGAAAGTTCAGGGTCACTAAGAAATTATCCTTCGTCCACTGGCTGAACATTTCAACAATAAACCACACTCATATTCAGCTTAAATAGGGTAAGCTCCAGTTGTGGTTTCGCCACTGAGCATGACGTAGTCCGTGCCATCGAGGACAGCATTTGCTATGTCTATCGCTTCAGCTCTTGTGGGTCGATGAGAATTGATCATGGACTTGAGCATCTGAGTAGCTGTGACCATGGGTTTCCCCTGGATGTTGCATTTGTAGATCATAACTTTCTGAGCTTAGAATATCTTCTCAATTGGGATTTCCATGCCGAGATCTCCTCTTGCAATCACAAAACGCGTCGGAATTGACCAAAAGGTCATCGAAATTCGACACACCTTCTTGGTTCTCAATCTAATCAGTCAAAACCA